TGGAGGCAAATGTGCAGATTAAAGAAAAAAGAAAAATCCAGAAATCTCATTGGTTGGTTGGGCAAATCCAGCGATGGGTAAGGCGTCGTGCACGAGAACCAATAGCAGCGCAGGGTTTGTGGGCAGAGGAGGGGCTGGGTTTAATCAAACATGCCCCTCCGGGTCGGACTCGGGGACGTTTTTCTGCCGAGTCGAGGTGTTCCCTGAAACACACACACACACACACACACACACACACACACACACACACACACACACACACACACACACACACACGGTTATTAGGTTCTGAAATGTGTAACGAAGCTTCCATGATTTGGTGCAACATTAAAAGGACGACTCACTGGTGACTGGGCTTTGGAGAAGTTGACGTGAGCGTAAAGCAGCACGGCGATGTCCTTGTGTCCCGCCTCCAGAGCTATGGACAGAGCGCTGCTCTCATCCTGGTGGAGCAAACAAAATAAGTCAGCGTGACCCAAAAGAGCATCTACACACCTGCAGTTCTTCTCTAATGTTAGAAACCAGTGGGCCAACATTACAGCAACAAAGTTCTTCTACACAACTCACACTGTCGCTGAGCGTGGCGTCACAGCCCGGCCGGGCCAGCAGCAGCTTGACGATCTCGACGTGGCCGTGCTCGCTGGCGCACATGAGCGCCGTCGAGCCCTCGTCGTCCTGGATGTTGACGTCGGCGCCGTGAGCCAGCAGGGCTCGAACCATGTCCATCCTGCCGTGACTGACCGCCAGCATCAGCCCCGTCTGGCCGGCCTGCGGCGGGGACAAAAGCACGGTGAGCAAACCCGACGCTTCCGGCCTCCACGCCGATGCGTTCGCGCAAATATCAACTCTGAACTAAAACGGTTTCATTAAACGAAGAGCTCTGATCACACAGAGCTGCTGTTTTCAATGAAGCCACACAAACATCCACAGTATCACAGCACAGCCAGTACAACTGTGCGGTGGGCGGAGCCTGGGTGAAGCAACGATGCATGGTTCAGGTAACTAAGGAACAATCATCCAGATGATTGATGTTACTGTTCATTCATGTTCACAGGATGCAAACAATCCTTTTCTATATTTCAACATGTTTGAAAACTCTTAACGTTGGTTTGTGTTCATCAGCACACGTTGTGCCACAAACACACCGAGTTGCACCAGGTCAAAATCTCTCCAGCAGCTCTAAGAACCTTTGTCTGGAAGCTAACGGGTCGTGTTCCCGGTGAAGCTGCATCGTTCCCAAACACGAGTCCAGATCAAATGTTCAGTATTTCACAAACTGCTGAATTTGTCTCACTTTTAAAAGTCCAGGCCGTTACCTTTCTCCACCACACGGTGTCACTAAAGTGCAATTTCCCCCCTTCAGCAGCTCCAGAGGTTTAAACTAAACTGTTCAAACTTCTGCAGGCAGTCGTTCATCGACTCATGTTTAGCTTCATTTGTGCATTTCT